TATATATATGTGTATATATATGTGTATATATATGTGTATATATATGTATATATATATATATATATATATATATATATGTATATATATATATATATATATTTTTTTATTGTATTATATAGCTTCTCAATTTGTTAAAAAAATTTATATATGTAAAAATAAAAATTTTCTAATGTGATTCAATATGAACTATAAATACATATTATATGATTACAGTTAATAGTTAAAATCTACTAAGTTTAGGATTTTACAATAATGTTGGGGTATAATAAATTTTACCTGACAAGTTTTACAATAGAAAATGAGATGGTTCAACTTTATTGTTATAAAAAGCAAAACATCTATGTCAAACATCTATGTCAATGATTATCTTACTATTATAAATTTATATATACAATCATTTTTCTTGTTTATTCACCCATACACCCCACATTAAATTATTTCAAAAGCTAATAAATCTTCTATTGGAAGTAAATATATATATATAAAAAATCAATTATTAACTTTTGTGGTTCTTAATATTTTTTTTAATTTCTTGAAAATCTGTCAAACAAGGTTGTATCTCAAAGTTTTGAGTAAAATTAAAATGTCCCTACTTATCTTGACCAAAATGGTTTAGTTAAAATATTACTCAAACATTTAAAGGTTTTGGTTGAGATAACTATATTTTTTTGTGTACTACTAAATATTGTATGGTTCTTGCTTGGGTATGTCATTTTATTCTCTTTCAAAACAATATTATATATATATATATATATATATATATATATATATATATATATTCATTGTAATAATCACCGAGGGCTACTTTGGTTGGCAATTACAATGATGTGTCCAAAGTAAGTTGTCTCATATACGTTGGGTTTATATAATAGATCATTGAAGAATTGTCGTATTCATGCAAAATTCTATTGTCTCAACGTTAAGATACTGGCATAATTTATATGAATTTGTTCTAATTACAAAAGTTAATAAAGCCCGACATGAGCATATAAAATTAAGGCCAAAATATTCAGGGTAAGCAAAACATTCAAATTGTGAAACCTTATTTATATTAATCTAAATATATATTATTTTTAATTTATTTAAGTAGATTTATTTTAAAACTAAATTCATATTTTTGGATTTTTAGTTCAAAATATATTGAAATATTTTTCAGATTTTGAAAATTTAAAATTAAGATACGTCTAAATTGAGTCAAGATAATTGAATATTAACTTGAGTCAAGTTAGTCTGAATCGAAAGTCAAGTAGAGTTGACTTAAGCTAAAAGTTGAGTCAAGATAGAGCTAAGTAGGCCTAAGTCAAAGGTTGAGCCAAATCAGTCATAGGTCAAAAGGTTAATTTAAGTTTGCCTGAGCTGAAGAATTTAGCCGAGTCGACCTGGACTTAAAGGTCAAGTAGAGGAAGCCAAGGTTGAAGCTTCACAGCTCGAAGGTTGAGATAAGTCGATATAAGCTGAATGTCTATATGTTTTTGCCTTTCGTCAAAGGTCAAGGCGAGTTAACTTAAGCCAAATGTCAAGTTGATCTAGGTCGAAGGATATAATTGAGTCATCATGAGCCTAGGTCGAAGGATAGAATTCCTATGATGTGAGTTTAGTCGGGTCGAGCAAAAGAACCAAGTTGAGTCGGTTAGGACTGAAAGTCAAAATGTGTTCGCTCTAGTCAAAGAGCGAAACGAGTCAGCCCAAGATGAAAGATCAATTAAAGTTAGATCATGATGAAAAATTGAGTCGAGCCTACTCGGGCTAATAAGGTTGAGTTGATTCAACCTAAGGTTGAGCCAAGTCAGTCTTGACTAAAGATCAAGTCAAATCGATTTAGGCCTAAGGGTCAAGCCAAAACATGCCCAATCGAGCCAAGTCAGCATTGTCCTAGTTCGGGCGGAGTTAACCATTATCCAAGTCAATCTAGTTGATCCAAGTCGGCACAAACCCAAATTAGTTCTTTTATACGTTGACTTAAGTCAACTCTATTTGATATTGAGGTGATGCAATTCAGATCAAAGTCAAATAAAATAAATTACACCGAAATCTACACAAATCAACTTAAGTCCAGGTCCAACTTAGTCGACTTGACCATTATTTGATATTAGTTAAATGTATTAAATTGATCTTTTTTTAATATGAACAAAGTCAATTCAATCTAAATTTAATTAAACTTCAATTAAATTAAAAAATCTAAAATTAATTTATTTAATTAAATTAGATTTGAATTACAAATTCAATATATTTTATTGGATCTAGATTTTGAAAAATTGATTCTAGGACTACCACTGCAAAATATGCTATTATTTTATTCGCTCATCTTTAATTGTTATGATTTTTTATGCTGGTTGTGTTTTAAGTTTTTATGTTAAACCTAATCCAATTAGGTTGTTAATTTTTTGTATTAATAATGTTTATTTTGTTTGACGTGATAAATGGTTATTTAATATGGCATCTCTTACCGTTAATGATATACATTAGAAATTATTCCTATTAACCTAATGAACTAATTAAAGAATAATTTTATACATAGGTGAAAGTCAAGAATTACCATAAAAATACTATTTTAATTACTTGATTAGGTGGAAGTCAATAATTTTACCACTGCTCTTTCTGCCTATCCTTTCACAGGTTTTCTGAAAGTGTTCTGTTGGAAATTAAATTCTTGATCGGAATATGGTAAATTAATACTAATCACGTTTGGTGGAATCTGCATCGGTTGCATCGCGGTTGAAAGCATAGTATGCTCTTTATAAATAGCACAAAAAGGAACGTGAAAGGGTGAGTAATTGAAAAGTTTTGAAGATGGCAAAGAAAAATTTTCCCATGGGTTTCTCTGTTGTTTGCATAACCTTAATCCAGTTTATAGCTTCACTCAATTTCAGCACATCCCATAACGAAATTAGCACTAGTACAACAACCACACCTAAGGCTTTTTTCATATTTGGCGACTCCACTGTAGATTCTGGCAACAACAACTTCATAGATACTATTCCAGAGAACAAAGCAGATTACAAACCATATGGACTCAACGCTTTTTCTCATGAACCAACGGGACGATTCTCAGATGGTCGTGTCATTGTAGATTTTATAGGTATGCGCCTTTTTTTTTATGTGCATCACTTCCGTTATATAGACTCTATCATTTTCCACTGTTAATAATTCAGTGACCATAAAAGAGATCACAAATGATTTTGGTGTAGTTTTTGAAGCAAATATCATAGTACTTTGTCCTTGTTGTGTGCTAAATTAACTTCTATTACGTGCTGATGCAGCTGAATATGCTGAGCTTTCACTAATTCCTCCATTTTTGCAACCAAATGCTGATTTCAGCAACGGTGTCAACTTTGCTTCTGGTGGGGCAGGTGTTCTTTCTGAAACCAATAATAAACTGGTAAATTGCCGGCACCATATGATACATAGTAATGTAACACAACTGTTGTCTGAGATAATAACATCACATGAACCTTTTCAACCTATATCTGTCATCCGTGATATGTAACTTGTGAACCTGACTTATGAAGAACTCTTAAACAAGTTGCTATGTGAATAGGTGATTGATTTTCAAACACAATTACGTCACTTTGAAGAAGTGAGGAACTTGTTATCAGAAAAGCTTGGAGAAAAGAAAGCAAAGGAATTGATCTCAGAAGCAATTTATTTCATTAGCATAGGAAGCAACGATTACATGGGTGGTTATCTGGCTGATCGCAAAATGCAAGAAAGCTACAATCCTGAGCAATATGTTGGAATGGTCATTGGAAATTTGACACAGGCCATCCAAGTAAGCCTAATTTGCTTGCTAAATTAAACAAACTAAATGAAACCCTGATCGGCTTTCTTAATGAGGAAGAACATAACAAGTTGATCTCTTTTTTACAGATTCTATATGAGAAAGGAGCAAGAAAATTTGGGTTTTTGAGTTTGTCTCCTTTGGGTTGCTTGCCAGCTCTTAGATCTCTAAACCCTGAAAGCGACAAAGGTGGTTGCTTTGAGGCAGCTTCTGCTCTTGGTCTAGCACATAATAATGCTTTGAGTAATGTTCTCACAAGCCTGAAAGAAGTCCTTGAAGGGTTCATGTACAGCAACTCTAATTTCTTTGACTGGCTTCTAGATAGAATAGATAACCCCACAAATTATGGTATGTAATTTCCAACCAATTCATGGACAAAAACAAGTATGAAAAAGTCTTGGTAACCAGTTGGATTTTTGTTTTTTATGAAGGTTTTAAAGATGGAGTTAATGCTTGCTGTGGAAGTGGACCATACGGTGGCATTTTCACCTGTGGGGACACTACGAAAGATACAGAGTTCAGCTTATGTGACCATGCTGGTGATCATGTATGGTGGGATTCTTTTCATCCAACACAGAAGATTCATCAGCAATTCGCCAAGGCATTATGGGATGGACCATCCTCCTCTGTAGGGCCATACAATTTGAAGCAATTCTTCTCCAACAACGAGATCACGCTCACTATAGCTGATGTAGTTGATGCCCCAGAAAACCAGCAACACACTTTCAGTATCTGAGTTCTTTTTTTTTCTTTTCACAAGTGGAACGAAATTTAAATCAATCTCAAAGGTAATGGTTGAAGAACTGAAATAAGAACGTTAATTTCTACTGAATATCATACAGCAGCACGTTGAAAAGTCATAAACACCGTGCTTTATCAGTTTTAATTTCTTGACTGGTACTGTAATGATACTGATTATCATTCTCAATTTAAAATAAAACTTTGAATATCTGTGTGATAAATATAAATTCAATATATGCGCAAGTGTCGATCATGATCCCAACTTTGGACCTTATTTTTTATCATTAAAAAGTGTGGCTTATTTATCACTACATTAGCCCTCGTTATTACATCTCTTACATTAAGTGCAACGCCGAGTATAATTTCTACACAATGAACTGTATTGAGGAGACTGTTACCTTTCACAGTACAAGAATAGTCACAAAGAGATGGACCAGCTCCTAAGACTCCATTTATAGAGGAGTTCGGTATATGAAGATTAGGTAAAGAATTTCCATCACAACCTCACTAACTATATTTTGCAACCAATAACCAGTGTTACAACAAACAACAACTTCTGTTACACCAATACTTTAAAGACATAGACAAGGTTTATAATATGAGAAGACACGTCTTAATATCTTAATATATATGTTAAATACACAACATTCATATTTTTATAATAATATACTATGACATATTAACTCCATAATGATCAAACTAGGAATGACTTGGGCATAGACAAACTAGGGGTGACTTGGGCATAGGCAAACTCAGTTGTATGTGGTCAGTCCTTACTAAAATAAATGTGGACTCATCCAACTCAACTAAATGAGATCTACTTGTATATATTACAGATTGATTCGTCTTGACTTGTACTCAGACAAATTCTTTTTAATATCGGCCTAGATTGATTTGTTTTGACTTGTTTTCAGATTAATTTGTCTTGACTTTGAACCCTTGTTAATTTAGTTTGACTAGAGCCTAAGATGACTCGACTTGATCTAGGCAAGGGTCGATTCGCCTTGACCTGGGCCCAAACAAACTGTCCTCTACTTAGGTCATACTAATTCACATAGATTAGATTCAAGCTTGGACTGACTCATTTGGACCTAAGTTCGAGTTGACTTGACTCTACTCGGATCTAGATTAATTTAGTTTGACATTGGTCAATTCAATCTAGAGTCGAGTTGAATTTGTTTGGCTTTGACCCAGATCAAATCGAACCAATTAGGTCTAGCCCAACTAGCATTTTGTAACTTGAAATAACATAAATGTTCCTTAGATTTTGGATTTTCAAAATTTAAAAAAATATTCAATCCAAACAAATGGATTTGACTTAAGACTTGAAAATATGGATTTGGATTTGAAATAAATCCATTTAAATGGACCTAAAATAATATGGATTTTAATACTTATGATTGGATTTGACAATTTGAATTTTTTACTGACCTCTTGGACAGAAGTGCAAGACACATGTCATTACAAGATGAAGTATTCAAAGAAAGATGCAACACAAGTTTAAACCCAACCCTTAAATCCAAGACTCTATATCATCAAATTTCTAAATACGTTTTATTTTGAGATGAAGACTTATGAGATGCAATATGAAGACAACAATAAGATACACACAACATAAAACCTTGATGAAGGTACGAGACGTGCTAAATTTGAATAATCAGAAAGTGTAAATTGCTCTAAACTTAGACACAATATATTCAAATACAAGATATGTTAAAACAATACGTCTAAGAGTTGTAAAACGTTAAATTTGGACTCATCCCAATGATGATTTTGACATAACACACCAATTATCTGAGTCTGTATGCTCAAAATGGTATTGCCAAAACAAACGAGGAGTTTTAGAAGAAAAAGTTTATCCTTACTTCAACACCTTGTGTGACAATAAAATGTGTCTACCAAAAGCAAAAACATGTTTTTAAAATATACTAACATAAGGATAGGTTACAATATAAAAATTTCAATGATCTAATTTATGATATTTATAAAAGAAAGTTTTTTAGGTAGAATCAACTCATGAATGATTATTAATAAGCATACAAACTTTACATAGATTCTTTTGCGTTAAAAGAAAGTAAAAAAAAAAAAAGTTAAAGTGCTACTAAAGTTTAAACTATAGTACAAAGAATGCCATTAGATTTATCATATTTATTGAGAGCTTGTGAAACAACTACTTTTTGTATAACCTATAGAAATTCTGTATAGGGAGACATTATGTATTTGGTGTTTAATCTCAAAGGAGATTACCGGATGACTTAGATAGGTTTTGTGTACATAAGTTAAAAGTGGCAAAAAAAAAACTATACTTGTAATTCTTTATGATCAGTGGAAAGATAACTCATCAGAGTTAGTTCAAGTAGAAGGTAAACAATATAAAACTAAATTGGACAATAAAACTTCAAGTAATAAAATATATTAAGCAACCAAAAACATGTTAAATCAAAGCAATCTTAAAAATAAAAATAGGAAAAAATATCATAATAACAAAAATGAAAATACATGAATAGTTTTCACGTTAAAATAGGAATAAAATGTGAAATATCATGAATAAATATTAAAATATTAAAATAGTGAATGATGACTTTACTATTAATATTGAAATATTTAAATAATAAGTGACTACGTCGAGCAGTGCATCAACTTTACTATTACATATTAAAATATTTAAATAGAGAATGATGACTTTACTATTAAATGATAAGAATATATAGGAAAAGTAATGGTAAAATAATATTATAATAAAAGTATAAATTTTTAATATAACGGTAAGAGAAGTAAAACATAAGAATTTTGATAGTTGTATATGTAAATCTTTCTTACTTATTCTTCTTAATTTTTATTTTTTTTTCTAAGAAAATCTTTATTGAGCAAGATTTTTGAAGTTGTTTAGAGAAAGTATTCAATTTAAGAAGTAGAATTTATTTGGTAAAGTTATTTTAAGGTAATGGAAGATATACATTTATTTTATATATTTCATTTTTTTATATTTATTGAATTTAATTATTTATTGTTGTTATTTTTATTTTATTAGTGAGATGTTTTATAATCTCATTTTTATTTATTTATTTATTTATGATTATTTTATTAGTGAAGGTAGATAATCTCAATTTTTATTTATTTATTATTATTATTTTTACTTTATTAATAGGTTTTTATAATCTCATTCTTATTTGTTTATTGTTATTATTTTATTTGTGAGAGATTTATAACCTCTTATTTATTTATTTATTATTATTATCTGTGTTAATAATCTTATTTTTATTTATGTATTGTTATTGTTTTGAATTTATTAATGAAGTATTTATAACCTTATTCTTATCTAATTATTGTTATTATTTTATTTGTAAGATATTTATAACTTTATTTTTACTTATTTTTTGTTATTATTTATCTAGTGCTACTTGCAACCTCATTTTCATTTGTTCATTATTTATATTTAATTTATTTAGTAAAGTCTTCATCACATCATTTTTATATTTATTATTCAGTTTATTTAGTGAGGTGTTCAAAACCTCATTTTTATTTATATTTATTTGTTTGTTTATTTTATTTAGTGAGGCAATTTTAACCTCATTTCTTTTATTTACTTGTATTTATTATGTGTATTTATCTTATTAAGTATGTTTTTGACATCATTTTTATTTTATAACTATTTATCCATAAAAGAAATTAAGAGGAGAATTAGTATATTGACTAGAAAAGTGGGAACCTTTGAAAGTACCCTGAGACATTTTAAGTCTATTCCTTGTAGTTGTCTTTAATAGGAATAAGTCAAAAAAATGTCACCTACTATGTTTATGGTGGTAATAATTTTAACTCGAAAAGAGAAATTTTGGTCTTAGTTTGAAGAATCAGAAGAACACAGTTTATAAGTTTTGACTCGTACAAATCAGCCCTAAATCAATTTTTCCAATTAAAAAAACCCTATCTTCTGTAGTTAAGTAACACATCAGCACGCACACAACTAAGTAATGACACGTTTTCGTTTAGTTAGATTTAACGAAAGAGACAAATTTGATACAACAAAACTGTGAACAAAATAGACTATTAAACTAAATAAAAGCTATCATGGATCATCACATGATAATAAGAACATCATATGTCACGATTATTATTATATGATGTGGTTTTCAACTTAGTCTCATATTTATAATTTTCATTTAATTTAGTCACCATATTTATAATTTTGATTTAATTTAATTAAATTTTTTAAAATAGAATAATTTAGTTTTTTTTTTAATTTGAGACTAAACTAATAATTAATCTCTATTACAACTTATATATTCATATTAAAATATCCATTTTAATGTGACTGTGTCACTTTATATTTACATTTTTAATATTTAAAAGAAATTATAAGTTAAAATAGAATTTTTTTATGTAAAAATATAATTGAATATCTAGGTGAAATAATTTAATGTATAAATTTTAAAAAAATATGTTTTAACAAGTATATATAAATTATAATTAATTTTAATTAGTAACTTGATTTTAAATTAAAAATTATCAAATTTCTTTTTTTTAAGAAAAACTAAATTTAATCAAAATTATAAATATAAAAATTAAATTAAATCGAAACTATAAATATAAAGATTAAATTGAAAATAAATAATTATTGTTTGCCACTACAAGTGGCATGTAATACATCACTACCTAAGGTATAATCATAATCTAACACACCATAATTTTTTGTTTTTTAAAAGAAATTGAAAATTCTACCACTAACATTAACATACATTATTTTCAAATAGTACGTTAACATTAATATAATAAAAATAATCAAATTGGACCATTTTAAAAAATAAAAAGACTAAATTAAACGAAAATGAATAAAAAAAATGAAATTGAACTAATAGAAAAATATACATAGATCAAATCTATAATTAAGTCTATTTATTTTCATCAATGAATCACTTATATTTACAAACTTTACATTATTTTTTACTTTTTTTTCATTCATTTAATATATACAACATTATTTTTCAAACGAGTTTTCTTGTTTTTTTTTTCTACTTCTCATTTTGAGTAGCACCAAACAAAGCCCAAATAAACTATAGCCCAGTAGTCGATGTTTGTTTACAAATTATTTATGTAATGCACAAGATTCATTCATGCGACTTTCTTCCATTGGAGTGGGCAAGAAAGTTTA